AAGAATCAAAACATTTTCAAACAATATCTAAGGCATGTTGTAGTCCATCTTAAAATGTAAAAAAGTTTGAAAATAAATAGCATATTAAGTCTAAATATTTAAGTATTTGGCGCTGTGATGAACGGCATAACGAATACAAAAATCTGAATGGCTGTTTAAATCATTTATATACGTTTCAGAAAGTAGCGCTGCGCAGCTGCTTTGTTTACGTTTTTCCGGGGTAACTGCTGCATTTCTGCTGTTCATCGCCATCTGCTGTCAGAGAGTGAGTGAATGTGCGCTTTCATTCAGCGCGTCATGTGCTTCTCATCCGTGCTTGTTTACATGACAGTGCGCAGCAGTGTTGTGCATTGTGACCAGTTGATGGGAAAAGTATTCTTAAAATGCATTCAAAAAATCTGAATAATTGGTAATAGATAATTATTCATGGTATTTTGAAGTGCCCACGATAACAATATCATGCATGTTCATTATCGTGATATATCGCATTACCGAATACGGCTCATGTTTACTGTAAATATAATAATAGTACTCATTATAAACACAAAATAATCATCAACTTTAAAATTCAGTGAAGACAATTAGACTACATTTATTTGATGGGGGGTGTAAGGGACCTGGATAATGGGTAGGGGGTGCTGGTCCAAAACAGGTTGAGAATCACTGATGTAGATAATTTGAATTGTTATAATACTGTGAGTTTTGTGGATGGTTTGCACTTCAGGTGTGGTCATCGACCAGCTTGAATATACTTATGTATATATAAGTGACTACAACCTTCTTAGTTTTAGTTTGATTTCTTCTTTTCTGCAGATTGTGAATGAATCCATTCTGGTTGAGTTTGCCCTTTGCTTTTCTTTTAAGAGATCATCTTCATGGTAAACTAAGGTGATGGGCTGGCAGTTAGAGTGTCAATACAAACAGAAATCTGGCCTGGCGGTTCAATGTTTGAACAGCATCAGATTGAGTACCATAATGCTCTTAAAACTACAAAAATTACATATTACTCAACTGTTAACAGCAGTGGTGTTTCTAATCCTAGGGTTCTGTTTAGAACAATTAACAATCTTACTGGACCTACTAACAACATTAACTGTTCCTCCACTGAGCTGTGTAATGAATTTCTCAATTATTTCTCATGTGAAATTCACTATATTTATAACTATTGCCTCTGATTTTTCATCTGAATTAGTTGTGTCCTCTCAATTATCCTCTTCAGTTTTTCAAGTATTACAATAGTAAATTCTGATTTTATTTTAAAATCGTTTTTAACAATGAATTCTACTACTTGTATGTTCAATCCTCTTGCCACTATTGTTCTGAAGAACTGTTTGCCAGCTATTGTTCCTCATATTTCTGCTATTGTGAATGCCTCACATGATGCAGGTGTAAGGCTGAAAAGACCTCAGACACTTTGATCTCCTGAGATATGGACAATACAAACACAGTGTATTAACATACCAACATCTGTTGGTATGTTGGTATGTTAATACCAACAGATGTTGGTATTAACATACCAACATCTGTTTCTACATCTCGCTGAGAGATGTTGGAAAGCTTCTTTCTCACCTATACATATGTTCCTTTTTCCCCACTTCCTTCCCTTCACCCATCCTTCCCCTTACTCAGCTCACTCAGAATGGTCAATAGCATAATATAATGTTCTACATGAAAGCAAGTGATATTCACAGTCGTGTTTGGTATCATTTGAAATGTCTCAGTGCGACTAGTACAATGGTCTCAATCTTACAAGAGGAAGTAGACTAAAAGGTATATCAGACTAGTCTTTGACATTTTGTATTGATTATCTTTGAATTTACTATGTAATTGACATAATACATTTTACCTGACTAATAATAAATTGTCACATTTGATATTATTCCGACTTACTAAATCACTAAATTATACTAAATTATTTTCTCACGTGGATTAAGTGAAGGTGTTTGTTTCCGCAAATCTGCGTCCAGGGTTAAGTGCATACTAGATCTCAGGTTAGATGGAGCATGGGGCACACATCAGGTGGGATGCTAGATTTCTGACTAACAGCTTGACTTTAGTTCAGTTTTATGCAGTTGCAAATGTGTTAGCGGAGACAGATTTTTTTATAGGTCTAAAGGGGGGCGCGACCATAAAAGTTTGAGAACCACTGGTCTAAAGTTAACAGACAGTGTTTAAAAAGTGAGTCCACATGTTTACCTATGTTTAATACAGTGACTTTGAATTACCTAAAGTAGTGTGGTAAAGCAACAGATTTGTTTTTATATTTCTGCAATCTACTTTAGTTTGTGTGATTTGTTATTGACTTTCATATTAATGTTTACACCAGGCTTATTTGTTATTTGCTTTATGTTGTCATAATTATTACATGCTTACAATGTTGGAAGTCGCAATCTCATTATTGGTAAAAAAAAATCGCAATTAGATTATTTTCCAAAATCGTTCAGCCCTAGCTAATGGTCAGACTGGTGAGTTTGTGACCGTGAGCTCTACATAAAATGACTGACATAGACTCTGAGTGACATAGATTCCTAAAGAGCGAGTAAAATCTGAAGTAAAGGTCAGAATAATTATAATTAGAAATGGATGAACAACCAATTTGCATGACAACCTAAATTCAAGGTCATAATAAAATGGAGTCAGATTAAAATTTAACAACTTAAATGAGATTATTTTCCAAAATCGTTCAGCCCTAGCTAATGGTCAGACTGGTGAGTTTGTGACCGTGAGCTCTACATAAAATGACTGACATAGACTCTGAGTGACATAGATTCCTAAAGAGCGAGTAAAATCTGAAGTAAAGGTCAGAATAATTATAATTAGAAATGGATTAACAACCAATTTGCATGACAACCTAAATTCAAGGTCATAATAAAATGGAGTCAGATTAAAATTTAACAACTTAAATTACTTTGCACACTGAAAAGACGGAACATGCAGGAAACCTTCATACATCATTGAATACCTTTGTCGGGCCAATTGGATGGACCTTACATAGGGATTGTCCCTCCTGCTTTTAAAATGGCAACACCACATATATAGACCAATTTCAAATTTTGCCATTTCTCTGTAAAGTTCTTGAGCATGTGGTTGTTGGCCAACAGCAAATCATTTTCCTATGAACAGATTACTAGAACCTTTTCGATCAGGGTTTAGGTCTGTACATAGTACGGAGACTGCTTTAATGAGGGTCATGAATGACCTCCTCATCTCAGCTTTTTTTTTTTTTTTGGTTTTGTACTATTTGTTTTTATTAGATCTTAGTGCTGCATTTGATACAGTGTGTCATATTATTTAGCAGATTATGGCTATAAAGTGGGATTGGATTTATATTGAACTCAGAACATTCCCAATTTGTCTATCTGGGTACTAGCAGATCTCAGACTGTGCCATTACGACAGGGTGTCCCTCAGGTGTCAGTATTGGGTCCTACTTTGTTCAGTATCTATTTGCTGCCTCTTGGGCAGATTATCCAGAAGTATGGTCTGGGTTAACATTGCAATGCTGAAAATACCCAGATTTATTTTAGCACTCAGCCTGTTTTCCTTTCTGCCTCTTCAACTCTTTCTGCTTATTTGTTGGAAATAAAGGTGTGGATGAAACTTATTTTTTTAATTAAACTGAAATTTTGTTTTATATTACTAAATATTACTAAAGTTACTTTTTTCATCTCCAGATTATTAGACACTTTTAACCCCTTTCTTTCTAGGCCTGATGCAGAAAGGCTTATTCATGCTCCAAGAACTGAGTTTGGCACCCCTGGCATTTAGGATCTAGAATACATGTTGTTAGTTTTGATGTTTTGTGTCTAAATATGTTGATGTCTGTTGCTTTGTGGCATTAAACTGGAATTAACATTTATGTATTTTTTCACCTTAGATGTGATGGCACTGAAAGAGGAGTGTGAAGTACTGAATGAAATGGAAGAGAAAGAACAGTATGATAAACACTGTGATGTCATAACTGGAGAAAAATATTTTAGTTGCTCACAGACTGAAAAAACTTCCTCACGAAAAAGGGCTCAGAAGACAGGGACTAAAAATTATTTAACCTGCTTTCAGTGTGGAAAGTGTTTCAATCAACATGGAAAGCTTAAAATTCACGTGAGAGTTCACACTGGAGAGAAGCCTTACACATGCCCTCGGTGTGGAAAGAGTTTTGATCTACTTAGAAAGCTTAAAGTCCACATGGCAATTCACACAGGAGAGAGCCCTTTTACATGCCAACAGTGTGGAAAAAGTTTCAAACAAAAAGAAAACCTTAATAACCACATGAGAATTCACACAGGAGAGAAGCCTTACACATGCCCTCTGTGTGAAAAGAGTTTCAATCAAGATGGAAACCTTAAAGCCCACATGAGAATTCATTCTGGGGAGAAGCCTTACACATGCCCTCAGTGTGGAAAGAGATTTGATCTACATGGAAACCTTAAAGTCCACATGAGAATTCATACTGGAGAGAACCCTTTCCCCTGCCAACAGTGTGGAACAAGTTTCACTCAAAAAGGACACCTTAACACCCATATGAGAATTCATTCTGGGGAGAAGCCTTACACATGCCCTCAGTGTGGAAGGAGTTTTGATCTACAAGGAAACCTTAACGTCCATATGAGAATTAATACTGGAGAGAACCCTTTCACCTGCCAACAGTGTGGAAAAAGTTTCACTCAAAAAGGAAGCTTTAACAGGCACATGAGAATTCACACTGGAGAGAAGCCATTTACCTGCCAACAGTGTGGAAAATGTTTCACCCGAAGAGGAATTCTTAATGACCACATGAGAATTCACACCTGAGAAAGGCCTTTTACCTGCCAACTGCAAGGAATAAGTTTCACTGAAAAAGCAATCCTTAACCCTTTGACGCGTACGATCACACCGGTGTGATCAGTCTAGGCTGGTCCCTGAAGCGTACAATCACACCGGTGTGATAAATAATGGCGGTGCCCATAGCCCATGATAACTTACCGATCAACTAACAGGAGTTGACTTGCATATATTTAACTGTCCTAATGCCAAACATTTAACAATGTATTTAAAAAGTTTGTAAATATTTTGTATAAAAATAAATAAATAAAAGATATAAAACAGGCATGCATTGCAGTCTTTTGTTTCCACCAAGGAGTGACCTCAAGCTGACGTCACTTTTACCTCACACTGGCCTCGCCTTATTTGATAAACAAATTTACATAAATTCAAAACAGTTTTTCATTATTTAAATAAGTAAAAATGTCTGACAATCATTTTAAAAGAAGAAAATTCACAAACGAGGAAATTGTGGAGATTTTTTTAAATTCTGATGAGGATTTTGACAGTGAGGCAGACAGTGACAGCGATGAGGACCTTCCCTCAAACCTTGAAGCTCTTGACAGAACTGAAGATGAAGAGACTTCCACAACGCCCACCCATGTTTTTGCTGAGGCAGACAGGATAAACTCATCATCCTGGAAGGTAACAAACCTTTTTAATCCTCCAGGCCCAGGGGATTTCGATGACCAACTGTGTGGAGTGCAAAATCCTCCAGAATCCCCCAGTGAGGTCAACTGTTTTAAAATGTTCCTCACAGAAGATGTTGTCGGAGAAATTGTTGAGGAAACAAACCGCTATGCCTCAGAAATACAAGAAGGAGAGATGAAAGGGAAAATGGTTAAATGGGCTCCTACAAGCATCCCTGAAATGTACACATTTCTGGCATCAGTTCTTCTAATGGGGATGGTCAAAAAACCGTCACTCCGTGATTATTGGAGCACAGACCCCATGCTCTTGACACCATTCTTCCGGTCTTTGTTTTCACAGGACCGCTTTCTCATACTCCTCCGCTGCCTTCACTTTGCAAACAACACAACAGAAATTTTAAATGACCCTCTGAAAAAAATCAGAAAAGTATTCAGTACTCTCACCTCCTCCTTTCGTCGCATCTTTGTGCCATACAGAGATCTCTGCGTGGATGAGTCCCTGATGAAGTGGAAAGGCAGGCTGGCATTTCGTCAGTTCATTCCATCTAAAAGACACCGATTTGGGGTTACATTTTTTGTTTTGTGTGATGTGCTCACTGGCTCTTGCGGGACATGATCATCTACTCCGGATCTACCAGTGACATCCAACACTACCAAGGGCTTGGAATTTCTGGGTCTGTTGTAATGACAATGCTAGCACCTTACCTTAAAAAGGGTCATGTCCTTTATGTGGACAACTGGTACAGCAGTCCCACACTTTTCCAGCACCTCCTGTCTCTTGGCACTGGAGCCTGTGGGACTGTGCGTGCAAACAGGAAAAGGATGCCAACGTTCACCTGTAAAATGACAAAAGGAGAAATAGAATTCAGAGAAAATGGATCACACTTGGCAGTCAAATGGCATGACAAGAGGGATGTTCATGTCCTTACCACAGTCCACCCAACAGGAATGGCAGCCACAGGGAAGCTTGATCACATCACTGGGCAACCAAAGATGAAGCCAGTGTGTGTGCTAGAGTACAACAAAAAAATGGGGGCTGTTGACAAAGCTGACATGATGACTGGTTTTCTTGAGTGCGCCAGAAAGACCACCAAGTGGTACAAGAAGGTTGTGACCTCAAGCTGACGTCACTTTTACCTCACACTGGCCTCGCCTTATTTGATAAACAAATTTACATAAATTCAAAACAGTTTTTCATTATTTAAATAAGTAAAAATGTCTGACAATCATTTTAAAAGAAGAAAATTCACAAACGAGGAAATTGCGGAGATTTTTTTTTATTCTGATGAGGATTTTGACAGTGAGGCAGACAGTGACAGCGATGAGGACCTTCCCTCAAACCTTGAAGCTCTTGACAGAACTGAAGATGAAGAGACTTCCACAACGCCTGCCCATGTTTTTGCTGAGGCAGACGGGATAAACTCATCATCCTGGAAGGTAACAAACCTTTTTAATCCTCCAGGCCCAGGGGATTTCGATGACCAACTGTGTGGAGTGCAAAATCCTCCAGAATCCCCCAGTGAGGTCAACTGTTTTAAAATGTTCCTCACAGAAGATGTTGTCGGAGAAATTGTTGAGGAAACAAACCGCTATGCCTCAGAAATACAAGAAGGAGAGATGAAAGGGAAAATGGTTAAATGGGCTCCTACAAGCATCCCTGAAATGTACACATTTCTGGCATCAATTCTCCTAATGGGGATGGTCAAAAAAACGTCACTCCGTGATTATTGGAGCACAGACCCCATGCTCTTGACACCATTCTTCCGGTCTTTGTTTTCACAGGACCGCTTTCTCATACACACGCAAGAGCAAGCAGAGGCGCCTCACCAAATACATGTGTGTGCGCCGTGCAACACTCCCTTGTGTGCTGCCCCATGTTTTGTGGAGTACCACACACTGAAGCATTATTAAGCCTATAAAAAAATAAGAAAAGAAAAGTTTGTGAAGAGTTTTAAATTTTTTTATCTTTGTATTTATGAACATATTTCCATTATTCATAATTACATTTGTACATTTTTTGTACATTTTGTAAATGTTAAACAAAAATTCTAGATTGAAATAAATGTAATAACATCTATGAAATGTGTACATTTTGTGATTTATAAACTACAGGAAATCTAGACTGAAAGAAATGTAAAAACAACATATATGAAAATTGTATATTTTGATTTATAAACTACAGGAATTATAGATTGAAAGAAATGTAATAAAACATCTATGAAATTTGTACATTTTGTGATTTATACACTAAAGGATATCTAGATCGAAAGAAATGTAATAAGACATTGGATTTCTTTTTGACAAATGTCATATGTTTAATGGTATGAATAATGCTAAACTTATACTACACATACTTCTTAGTAACAAAGCAGATAACAGCTATATTTACATTTACATTTCCCTAAACATCAACAACATTTGAGCAAGCTAATGGTAAGTGAGGTATATGACTTTAACATTAAGGTGATTCGATTGAATTCAGATATTAGTCCAGTGGTTTTTATCATTTACATTTCACCTAAACATCAACAACATTTGAGCAAGCTAATGGTAAGTGAGGTATATGACTTTAACATTAAGGTGATTCGATTGAATTCAGATATTAGTCCAGTGGTTTTTATCCATTTGTACAAGTCCTCTGCGGACAGTTGTTTTAAATGCAGGGAGCAATCTAATTTGCAATGTGCTAAACAGCTTTGACTAACCTGCATGCAATCATCCATCCGGGGCGCCATTGTAACTGCGATGTATCACGTGGCAAGGCTGATGTGTTGCTATGGAACTTAGAACGTGATTAAGGAATAATAACGGTCGCCTGAAAAAAACTCACGCTGGGGGCTCAGCTAGAATATTTTAAACTCACGTGCGAAAGGGTTAACAGGTACTTGAGAATTCACACATACAACAATACATATACATACAACCAAGAAAATAAACTAAAGTAAAGAAATAGAAGTAAAGTTTGACGAGACTAGGTGGCGTTTCTCCTCATGGTTTTGGAGGAGCTGGCTTGTAAGCCAGAGCACGCACAAAAAGCGCAAAAAAAGCATGCTAAAAGCGATGAATTGACATGACTAAAAAAGCGAGAAGTGAAAAAAAGAGAGAAGGGGTTGATTTGATGGTGTCCTGAGTATTTAAACTGGGCTGTTGGACACATCCCAAGTGGTGTTTTGATCAATTAGACACTGTCTTAGCTCTGGGTGTTGCTATATTCCTCCTCCCAATTCATAAATCAAATGTTGTATCTCTTTTGACCATTAATCTTGATTACTTGCCCCAAAATTGACAATCTCCTTGGAATTGTCAATAAGTGTTCTTTTGTTTAAATGCTGTGAGCTACTCAAAGCTGTTAGTTGGTGGGCTTGCTTCAGGCTTGTGGCGCCAGGATCTGATTTACGAACATCCTGTGTCTTGGGCCTCTGTGGAATTCGGCTCCTCGTGTTTCAACTATGTTCTTGATCAAATCTTAAATTGTCTGATTCGGTCTGATACCCTACAGAGAGGTTAGGCTCTTTGCTCTTTTGGTTAGGCCAAGTGGTTAGGCACTCCTTGGAAGCTGTCCTGAGTGTTGAACATCGTTAGGCTCTCACTTAGAAAGTTGTCAGTTAGAGAATTGCCTCTGTTTTAGAACTTGGCTAGGCAGTGGGACTGTGTTGCAGGTTCTATCTGAGCCTCCTTGGTACTCCTGGGTTGGGAGCTTTGTTAGGCCTCCCCTCATTATAGAAAGTCATTCTGTTAAGGCCTCCGCTCCCCTAAGCTCCACCAGGTTATTAGTGTCAAGTTAATAGTGCTATAATGCCTCTTTGACAGACGTAGGATGTAGCTAGGCAGCCTCTTGCCTGAGAGTTGTTATGCTGAGGCCTCCGTCCTCTGAGCTCAACTAGGGGCTAAGTTGCGAGCCTCCTTGGCTACTGCCTTTGAAGTGGAATCTTGTTAGGTCTCCTTTCATTATAGAAAGTTGTCCTGCTGAGGCCTTTGCTTCCTAGAATTCCAATGGAATAAGAGTTCTGAGTTGTTAGGCTCTCTGTGATCCTCCTTGGAAAGTTGTCCTGAGTGTAGGGCATAGTTAGGTCTCTTCTCACTTTAGAGAGTCATTATACAGAGGCCTCCATCCTTAGAGCTTGGCCAGGCAATAGTGCCAATTTGTTAGGCTCTTTGTAAGCCGCCTTGGCTACTGCCTTTACAGAGGAATGTTGTTCTACTCCTCATAGCTCCACAGTTTCAAGTTGTTAGGCTCTCTGTGAGCCTCCTTGATGGCTATTCTTGGCATGGGCATATATGGGCCTCCTCTTGCATTAGAGAGTTGTCATGTTGAGGCCTCTGTCCTTAGAGCTTGATTGGGCAGT